ATCAATTATCAAGTTTTCAGTTAATTTCTGTTTGAAAATCATCCCATCGGTGCTGCGGTACAAGATTATATCCGTCAAACTGGCATATCCATGTATGTTTAATCATGTCTTCATTACAGACTGCAAGTGACAAAATGCCCAATTTCTTCCAATTTAAATTAAAATAGCATATTTGTTTAGTGTAAGTTACAGTACACAGCTGGATAACTCATTAAATTTATGACAGTGACTCATAAGACAAAAGTAAGGCTGAACAAACAAATAATAATAATAAAAAAACATTATTGTAATAACTAAAATGAAAATGAGTAAAAAAAAAAAAAGAGGGGGGTGGGACCCAATACTGGAAGAAAAACTTTGAAAGACCTTCTGAATAGTCTGGAGAAGTATTGATCCAGAACACTTCAAAATAAAAGTGCTGATCTTGGCCTATAAGGACGATTCAAGACTTTAATGAAGTTGCAGTCTTTCAGTGGTGTACTCTGCATCTACGCAGTTACGCCTTTATTTGTGTTTCAATACAGATTTAGCAGAGATTCATGAGAAATTCACAGTGCCTTGCAACATAATTGAAGGAAAATCATACAAGTTTTTTATTTTTGATGTGATTAGTGTGCATTGTTTCAACCCCCTTTACTCCCATAACCCTAAATAAAATCATGTGCAATGGATTGTGTTAAAAAGTCACTTAATTCGTGAACTGCTCTTACAATTGTGCAATTTAATATCAGTGTTAATTCCAGAAGATTTGTGAAGGCCCCAGGGGTTTGATGGAAAACATTAGTGAACTAAATGTGTCATATAGACAGAGGAACACAGCAGACAGATCAGTGAAAAGGTTTTGGAGAAGTTTTAAAGCAGGATTAGGCTAACAAGGCAGGAATAAGCTGAAATTGTTTCCTTTTTTTTATGTGTAGAGGAAAAGTAATGGTCTACGTCATCCACAGGGCGGTGGCCACATCAGGCTGGTGGGAATCATTTTAGTTTTAGTAAGTAGGGATAGGAAAGATGATCAGAGTTGATGGAGGAAAAGAACCAACCAAAATGCAGAGTAATGCTGCAGGAAAACCTGTTAAGACACAAGCCTGGAGCAGATGTTCATCTTTCAACAATAAACATAGCGCCAGAGAGACATTGAAATGGTTCAGATCAAAGCACAGTCATGTGTTAGAGAAGTTCAGGCAAAGTCCAGGCCATAATCTAATTCAGAATTTGTGGAAACACTTAAAAACGTGTTCCCAGATGCTCTCCATCCAGTCTGAGTGAGGTTGGGCTATTTTGAAATTAAGGACGGGCAAAAATTTCAGCTTCTGGATGTGTAAGGCTTGTGCAGCTGTAGTTGTTACAAAAAATGCAAATGCACACCACACTTTCACAATTTACCTTATTATAAAAGCAAAATTCAAACCGTGCATCCTTTCTCTTCCACTTTGCAATTACACGTCAGAGGATTTATGAATGCCTTTTGCAGGACATTTTAGTTCTACCTGACTTTAGTGTGTGTTGATGCAGACTGATGTTAACTCAAGGTGGCGCGTGTGTGTGGGAGTTGCACCTGCCTGTAAACATTCATGCTTAGTTTCAAGCCAGGTGTTCTCTCCTGTCCTTTCTGCGAAGGCCAAGCTCTGCAATGTTACACCTGCTCGACAACCAGCGAGGAAGGGTGCAACAAGGAGGGCTCCATCTCTTGTCCAGCTTATGCTGAGGCCTGCGCCACCATCACAGGCCCGAGTGAGTAAACACACTCCCAACACGTATGCGGCCATTTGGATCTGCCTCACTGGAGGTCGGGCCAACGCTGTTTCCAGTGAAATATCTGTCACAGTTGAACGTCTGAGGAAATCAGCAGCGCTTAAACAGCAGTCATACTGTTTCTATTGACAGTCGACGCTTTTGCTGAACCAATTCGCAGCTATAGTATTATATTTCTATGGTTTATGCCATTTTGTTCCCATGTAAAAATAGCATAAAACTTTTGCATGTTTGTGTACAAATGTGTAAGACAACCATAAAAGATGTCTCTATGTCCTACTACTGTTAGGATGGTGTTTGTTCGTTCAACGGTTTATTGCAGACCTCTGTGCATTTCTTGCTGATTGTTTTGTTTCTGCTGTTGGATTGTTGGGATCTGACTCACAGAGTCAGCGTCTGCGTCTCGATTTCTTTCAGACACCGTGATAAAGTCATGCACATACATGGACTTCTGTAAGAAAGCACAGAGCAGCACGAACTCAGGAGCCAAAATTGAGTGCTGCTTTGCTGATGACTGCAACGGGCCCCATCACAGACAGCAAGTCAACACCGCGGGAGCTCTGTCGACCAGCCCGCTCGCGTTGATCACCCCGCTGCTCCTGCTGCTGCACAATGCCTTCTGTCAGCTCTAAACTCCTCCACCTAGTTTGTTCCTTCCTCCTTCTCGTCTGTTTTGTTATAAATGTCATCCATCCGAGTTCAGCAAAGAGGATCTGAGGCACGGAGAGTTTCTGGTGGTTTGAAATTGGTGTGAAAACAAAAAGAATATCACCTTCATGCCTGCGGTGGTGCAGTGATGTTTAGGTACTACACATATATGCTGCAGTTTTCACTGCCACTGAAAACTTAAAACATTTTCCAATAGTTGCACAATGAGATGAGGTACTGCTACAAAGCAATACGTGAACCTGGGAGTGTTTATGATGCACAAATATGTGAAAAGTCAAGAACTCCTACTCACAGCTCTGGTGCAGACAGGGGGTGGCAGGTGTGGTTTCGGTGCGCGCGACAGCTTGCTTCACCACATAGAATCAAATTATTCCTCACTCTTGTTACCATGGCACTCTGATCATTTATTGTGCTTTGTAGTTTGAATAAAGACACAATCACACCTCAGTTTCTATAGTGTCTTTGATCCCGTTATGCTTTTAGAAAATTTGTTTTCCTGATGTGCAAAAAAAAAAAAAAAACATTGAGACTATTCTCATGAGGGTCTGTGGAAAGTTTAACACTTCCCCTTACAGAAATGACACTTGAATCTTCTACGCAGTTACTGCTGGATATGAAATCGGCAAGGTAGGTCTCTGTCCTCAGGAAGGTCATATGACACTTAACCACTTCCTCTTAACAAGGGAGAACATACATTTTTACTAAAAGAAAAATGACAGAAAGCAAAACCACTACCTGTGCAAAACAAATATTTAGCAATTAGGCTGATGAGAGACTTGGTGTGAGGAGAGTCTGCAGAATGTGTCAAAACCTAAATCTAAAGTCTTAAGAAGACAAGGAGCAGAGTGGTGAAACAAGGAAGTTAAGCTAATTTGTGGTTACCTTTGTTTGAAAGTGGAAAAAAAAAACAAACGGCAAAAATCTTGAAGACATTCAAAATTAAAAACCACAGAATGTAATTTGAAAGAAAAGATCTTTTCCAAACATCAGTGTCTTTACTTTGCAGATTGATACACACACACACACACATATATTTTATTTTTATTTATTTTTTGTTGAAACCCATGTTGTCTTCAGACAGAAACCCCAATAGCAGAATATTTCTCAATCATAAATGACTCAGACAAAAACTGAAAATTTAACATCCTGCCCTTCTTATTTTTGCTTTAGTTTATTTACTTATTTAATTTAAGATGACAGATGTCATTCAAACAATAAAAATCTCAAAAATCAAACTAAAATATATGGGCTATATATGTGTAAAATGGAGTAGGGAGAAGAAATATGTTTTGTAAAGTGCTTTGCAAAGAAGCAGAGTTGCACAGATGTTAACTTTTGCACATTTTGTTGCAAAAACCTCAACCCAAATGAAGTGCGGTGTGATGGACCAGCACAAGTACATAACTGTAAGTGAGAAGAAAGGGTTCAAAATTTAAAAATTGGAAAGGTATGACAGCATGTGTAATGTTTTCCTTTTAGTAATGACACCTCTAAATGGGTATAATGAGAATAAAAAAGATAAGTATAAGTATGTTAAAGAAAAAATCCAATATAGTCTAGATGAAGCAGATAAAAATCATAATTTTAACGACAGAGGTAGACTAAACAAACATAAACGTACCATAAAGTGATAGATGTGCTCCAAAGGATCCTCAGTGAGGATAAATTAGCCAACAGGAGGGTTCAACATGATTTAAGTTTGATTGCAAACAAATCTGGAGAGACAGCAACAAATTCATCTATCTCTATATCTAGAAAATTGCTAATGTTTTTTTGTTGTTGTTGCTTTCTTATGAATGTGAAACTCTTTGGTTAATCTCATTTTTTATAACGGCTGACAACGTCAACTCTATATTTAGCTCAATATGGTAATGAGTTTTGAACATACTGAATTGATTTTATCTGTCTGTCCCATTAATCACAGCCAGGGGGCGGGACTGAGACAGAGTTACTCAAGATCATTGGTCTGTATCTGACGTACTGTGGACTTTAACCAATCAGATGTTAGAATCCACTTTGAAAGGTTTAAATGATTTAACAGTAAATTATTAATTTTTGTTTCGGATGTTTTTTATTATCACAACATTTAATGTATGAATTTGACATTCATGTCTGATTTTAGTCAATTCTTCACAAGTTAATACATTAATTCACCTGTGACGTGTAATTTAATTAATTTTGACACCATAGTTTTGCACCTGCATGGAGAACAATAGCCATGTTTTCTCCGTGCTCCTGTTTGTCCAGGTGCATGCTTCCTTCGTTTGCAGCTCTTTCATACAAACCACCTGATTCAGCACTTTGACCTAGTTCTTGAAAAAAAAGACTAGATGACATATGGTGTGCAGAGAGAAAGAGCGCACACTTCTGATGCAGCGAAAGCCTTCTATTAATAAAAGATGTGTTTTACAAAAGGATTGCGTTGATAAAGGTGTAACATGAAACTGAATTTGAAGTTATAAGAAAGGCCTGTTAAACTCGGCTTTCTCTCCCTCGGGTAAAAAGTAAGCAGCAGCTGCAGGAGGAGGAGGAGGAGGTTGGGGCTGGAGCTCAGGGGACGCATAGATCACATCCGGGGCTGGTTTATTCTAATACCGAAACGTCCAACCCGGAAAAAAAAAAAAAAAAAGGCAAGTCTTCTGTAACCCGATCACACAAACAAATAGAGGATAGTGTGAGGGCGTCGTGCACGCCGGTTCATCTGTAAAAGTGTAGTCTGTAAAAGTTGTTTAAAAGTTCCTCTGAGGATGATTGTCGCCGCCGAGGCAGGCTCTGCGCTCTCCACTTGGTTTCGGGGCGCTGGCTGTGGCGCACTCTGACTCTCCACAGCGGGTAAGTCTGGAGACAGCGGCAGCAGGGCCACTTCATGGCTCTGGCCGTCGCTTTGTGTGCGTGCAGGAGCTGGGAGCTGCAGTAGGTGTGTCATTCCGTGGACTTGTTGGTGTCAGTGAGTCACTGCAGGTCATCTGAGCTGAACTAATGCTGTGCAAGTCAGGTGTTGTTGAGTAATTCAGACTGAGAACGGTTCAGTTATACATGCTCGAACTCAACTTCAGTGGGAAGTTGCGTTAAACTCCATCTGTTCAGTGAACAGACAACAAATGTGCAACATCTAGAAATTATTTCTAGCTCTCTGCTTAACAGAAATCTCATTTTACGGCACAAATCATCCACGTCAAATAGTCGTAGTTGTAGACAGACGCGGGGATGCACAGTTAGTTTTTTTTTTTTTTTTCTGGCCACGGACCATTTCAGTTCTAAAATATTGGGGGTTATTAGTTATGATGCATTTAATGAATGGGGGAAATATGGATTATTCGGTGTCTCATCAACCGACTTCCTCGGGGGAAATTGACCAATTCCGATCTGCTGCCGATGGATTGGTACATATCTGGTCTGAGACAAAGGAAACCCAAGTGCTGATGGTACGAGTAGTGCTCAGAGAAGTGAAGGGTTAAAAACTGAGTTGTCCGTTCTTCCCCCTGTTTAAGTGACGCGTGGGCTGGTACACGATTCTCACAGGATCTTACAGTTTCACAGTATTCACTCCAAATAGCTGTCCACAAAGTCTTCCTTACTTGTCTTAACCATTTTTTTTAAAACGACTCTCATTGATTAGACAAAAAGTTGATTACTGACCTGAGCTGGAGATGCACTGATCGGTTATTTGTTGGAGATTTGACCTTGACATGCATTACCATCAGTGAGTCTGCAGTTGTCTTTGGTGCTTTGCTGCATCTTCATATTTGATGTTGTAGGCTGCAGTTTCAGACAGCTGGATATTTTGCCCCTTTTCCAAGAAGTAACTGATGTTACTTCCCATTAAACATGCCGAACATTCTTCAAAGGGATTTGTTTATATTTAACATGACTGTCATTTGAATCACACTGTTTCACAAGCTTCAATGGAGGGACATAAATGACCCCAGAATTTTGTCAAAAAAACAATTTTTTATTGTTTTACCTACAGAAATGCTTTTGGTGACATTTAAAAGGTCTTCGCTTGCCAATTTGGATGAAACTGTTGGTTTGGACTTGAAAAGCCTTTGGGAATTTTGTTAACATGCCATATTCAGCATGGAAGACACAACAAATCTGCTGCAATTTAAAAGAACATAAATGGTAGTTTTTAATCCACAATAAAATTAAGGATTTACAAGAATGTCTTGACTTATGCATCATAGTTCATATCTGTAACTTTTATCTCATAACTAAAAAAATAATGCATCCAGTTATGGTGCATTTGTAAAGTTGTTAGTTTTGATCAATTTAATAAACTGGAATAGAAAATGAGTAAAAACTGCTGATTCAGATCTGCCCAATTGCTAAGATGAGAGGATATTTAAAAAAAATAAATAAATATATGACTAACAAGTGCCTCACAACTCAGCAGACTCAGCTAACAAGCTGGTTCATTAGTAGAGCTAGATGCTCTAGAAACCAGCCTGCAGTCTGTTGCTTCACAGAAATAACACTTGTAGTTCACCAGCTACAGTAGTTTTAAAACATTAGCCAAATAATAAATGGAGCTAGTGCTCCTTTAGTTTCTGCATGACTGTCTGTCATTTGCAACCAGAAATATTCACAAAGAGCTGAACTGATCTTTTATTCTAGCTATGAAGAAAAGTATGGTAGCTTTCTTCCAGCCAGCTGACCAGCAGTGCCGTGTTGGGGTAGCTCTGCTTTACTCTATGCTGCTGAAGAAAACTCTGGTATCTCCAGCACTTTCTGTGTCCTACTTTGAACTGGACTTTAAGCCAACATGGTGGAACATTTTATGGTTTTGAAACCGTAACCTTTTAAAACTTCGGTAACTTGTGGCCAGAAACCTGCCTGTGATTAGTGAAGATTATTCAATCCTCCCTTTTTCTGCTTTACTAGACCCCAAAACCTCAAGATGGAAATAAAACCATTACAAATCACTAACTTTCTAAATGCTCTTTGCTTTCTTAAATGCTCACTATCTGGTTTTGTGTATCAGACGGGTTGGTCTTGTGCACAAATGGTCATTGTTTGTAGAGGAATGTTTCACTCCATTCTTCTGTGTAAAGTATGTGTGATACCACAGCCCTTATCTAAACATAATATTTTTCCCCATAAGCTACTGTATATTTAGCTGCTGTCTTGCTTTTTTTTTTTTTTTTTTTTCACAAAAACGGGGCATTTAAAATATCATCCAAGTTTTATTTATTGGTTTGGTTTCTACCAAAGATGGAAAAACCTCCCCACAGTTTCTCCAAGCAATGATTAAACCAGATGTTTTCTGATGCCCAGAATAGCGTGTGCGCCCTGCACACAGTTGTGTGGATGTGTGTCTCAGTGGTGGCATCCGTGTGACCCGTGCACCTCCACCTTCATGTTTCCATCACAGCCTGTGCTTCTGCTAATGCCTTCTGTATCTTTGACCTATTTCAGTGGCAAACATGCACGATTGACGCATGCGATGCCGAGACTGGTTTCAAAATGAGGCATTTTTCTTAAGCATTGGTTTAAAAATAACTCTGCAGGAGTTCCACCCAGCAGGTGTGACTTGTGTGCCTGATGGCATTTCTTGCTCTGGTTCTTGTGGGAACCATTTCATTGAAAAGTTGATGCATTTTTAGCCCGAAGAAGCAAAACGGTGTCATTAGACTATTAGCAACAGGAGGGATAGAGACTATAGTTTATCACTCACAGGCAATGGCTAGTTAGCCATTATGATTTTGTGCTTTTTGCTTATCTTAAAAAGCTTTAATGGATTCAAACATCTACAGCCTGGCCTTTGCTTTTCTCCACAATTGTACTCAATTCTTATCTCCCTTCAGTTCTCAGTCTGGGTTCTCTCCCATTGAGCTCGATTTCATCAGTAAATTTTCTACCAGGCCAATCAGCAAACGGAAGGAGAAGTTATGAATGAACACCTTGTTTTTCTGCGTTGTTTCAGACTTGTAGTCTGCCTGTAGTTTTATAGTTTTAGCAATGGCAGCGGAGGAACTGAACAAAGTCGTTCAGTCCGTGTTGGCCACGAATCCAAATACTGAATTAACATCAACGACCATCACATTCAGCTCAGTCCTTGTTCATTTATTGTACCGTTTGTCATACATTGCAAATTATTTCTTATCTTGATAAAAGTTTAGATGTATTGTTGTCTTGATAAATTTAAATTATTGATGTTAAAAATAAAACTGTCTGAAATGTTATTTTTACTGTTTCTTTCACTGTTTGCTTCATGAGAGCATCAATCAGTAACTTCAAAAATATAATTAAATTTGAAAGTATAATTAATAAAGTATAATTAAATGCATTTTCATGACTAACGTTACAGTTTGGAAGTATAAATGACACCTGGAGTATGAATGTTTTTACGAACAGTATAATTGCATTTGGGGCGCTATGAATGCTGGGCCATGGAGTCCCAGTCGTACATTTTTATCATCATTTTTTATCAATATCTCAATAGCACTACAAAATACTGCAATAAAACTCAAAATCCATATTGCCCACCATTGCTTCTCTCTTCGCAGTTGGAGATGGTTGTTTGCACTGCAGGCAATTCCTGGTTAGCTTCATAGCAATGAACTGGTGCGTTATGTAAGTTATGGCTAAATGTTAGCGATTGAGTTAAAATGTAAAACTCAATTGGTGTTCACCCCTCCAGGAAGCAATCATCTCTCTCAACAGCCGCAGGTCCAGTCTGTACGAAGCAAAGCTTAGAACAAGGGACTGGTTTCTGCCAGGCTGAAATATCTAGAAAAAAAACATGAAAACCGTTTGTCCTGCACATAGTTTTGTGCTTAATTCTGGTTTAGCTTGCAGTGAGGTCAATAAATGAAATAAAATACTGCTTGGTACTTCCAGAAACAAGCAGAATAAATATGACAAGAATAACTGGGTTTCTGAGAAGAATTAGTCCTGATTATTTTTAGGAATCTGCCAGCAGCTCTGTATTTTACATGCTCTTCTTCATTTTGAATAAACAGCCCTCTTCAGTCCACACTTCTTTGACTTGATCTCCTCTCTTTTCTCTTCCCTGTCCTGTGGAAATGTGCCTGTGTGCAGATCTGGAGAGTAGTGTGTAATTTTCGGCTGTGGTGGAGGGCCTCAGCTCAGCCTCGGGCTTTCAGCTTTTGCAGCTCAGCCTCAATCACGTCACATGAAAAACTGCTGAGTGCGAGTGGGTCGCTCTCTTCCTGTGTGTGTTCGCGTGCGTGCGTGTGTGTGTGTGTGTGTGTGTGTCTGAACTCTTAACTCAGAGATGATTTACCCTCCACATCTGTCTGCCTCTGTGTCTCAGTGATTATGTGATAGTGGCAGCGATGCCGTATCTGGACCGCTTGAACCGTGTGTGCGGCTTCCTGGACATCGAGGAGAAGGAGAACAGCTGCCGCTTCCAGAGGCGATATTTCATCCTCGACACGCAGGGGAATGTCCTGCAATGGTACATGGACAATCCACAGGTGCTCACACACACGCACACAACACACCACCAAACTGGAAGCACGTTTGCACAAGCAGCAGGAGGAAATGAAAAATGATCAATATAAGGCCGTGGGACCTTGGACTCTGAGCTAATGACTGCTCTGTTTGTATGCAGAACCTGGCCAGCGGAGCCAGCTTTGTTGGCAGCCTGAGATTAACCTACATCTCTAAGGTAAAGCGTGCACCCCCGTTTGTTTTCAGACACTTTTGGACTACAGACAGGAATTTACGTAATGCCCATGTAGGCTACATTCAACTATATTACTCTACTTTAATCAAACAGTCCTATAGGATTTATAGGATTATACATAATATATTAAACATTTATCTGAAGCATTTCCTCCTCTTTGAACAATCAATAATGCAAAAGTCATTGTTTCTTACTTGTTTTGTTTTGGCACCATCATTTAAAGTTTGATCCCATCCTGCATTCAGTTGAGTAATAAAGCATCGTTGATTTTCATACTATTTTAGCTAGTAAGCCAACAATGGATCTCAGACTAGTTCGATGTGGAAATAAGTGGCTTCTTCTCAACCTGATGTGTTCAACCAGACAGTCGGGTATCTGATACAGCAGTAAACTTTGCACGGCTTTGCAGTATTCAGGTGGAGCCTGTCAGCTGCTCAGACCTACCAACCTGCAGCAATGACATGTGAACACATGCAGGTGTCATGCAGTTTGTGTTTGTAGCACCGAATCCACCCTCTATTTTTAGAAACTGCATCCCAGCGACAATTTTTCGAACTAGACCCAGCTGTAAGTTATCTAAAAACACTTAATACATCAGCTTCTGTCCTCCTGGTCTTGACCTTTTTGATGTCTGAAGACCTCTCACTTTTGATTTGGAGCAGAGCGACATGCTTGGAAAAACTTTCATCCGAGTTGAAGAAAAAACCAAAAGGAAATCATTGCAGGAACTTCACATAAATTTAAATGAGCATAGCAAAGCGTGCAATGCAAATGGTGCATCTGAAAAATGTTTATTTGGCTTCTTTTTGTCTCCTGCATGTTCTTTTCTTCTTCTGTGGTATTGCCTGCTTGAGAGCTGGTAGACTCCAGGTAGGAGTCGTCACATGGGCCTGATCAGCCAATCGGAGGCGAACTTCTGGAAATATGTGTCCCACTAGACAGCCAACAACAAAAATATAACCAGCCATTTGTTTTCTATTTCACTCTTAAGACTGATAAGTTAAACAACCTTTGATATATTCTGAATTATCAAACTAAGATCTTTCAAATATAAAAACTGCCTGCGGGAAGATATTCAGAATGCTATAGATATGAGAAAAGAGGTTGTTGTGGTTGAATCTGTTATCCATCAAGAGTATTCTTAAGCCTTAACGCAGTTCTTGTGAGTCAAAGGTCAGGTCTGTAGTGTTTGTTCTCACTACACCCACGAATAATGTGGAAATTCACTCAAGGATTCTGAGATACTCAAGAAGAATTCAGGGTTATCTGCTGCTCCAGTGTGCAGTCACATGCAGCAGCGATGTGAAGTTTTCCAGATGTTAGTTTGCTTGCGCAGATAATGACATCTGGCTTCCCTGACATCAAAGAATCCTCTCTTCTCTTCTTCTCTCTTTTCTCTTCTCCTTTCTTCTCTTCTCTCTTCTTTTTTTCTTTTCTCGTCTTTTCTTTTCTCAGGTGAGTGAAGCCACCGCAAAGCAAAAGCCGAAGACCGAATTCTGCTTCGGTGAGTTCTGCCTCGGAAGTCGTGAAGCGATGACTCGTGCATGTGCGGCGTTACACAACTGCGTTCATTTTTGTTGCTCATGATAAAATCCCCCGGTCGCTGTGGATTTCATGGAACTCTCCTCTCTGTTGTGTTTTTCATTTTACGTTTTTATTTTGGCAGTCATCAATGCAGTTTCACGGCGGTACTTCCTTCAAGCCAATGATGCAGTCGACATGAGGGACTGGGTGGATGCTCTCAACAAGGCCAGCAAGATCACCGTAAGAGCAACGCGTACACGTGCCGGCACACATCACCCCCCCCCCAATTATATGTCGGTTTGTATAATGACGTATTGATGGAGGGCAGCTCCAAAACCAGTTTGGCCCCATCAGTTTTGCGGATGCCAGCACATCGGCCACAGATGCCCTCTGTTACACTGACTGAATGGGGAAATTGTGAATGCGTGACAGCAGCAGAGATAACACTCAGACGTCAATGTGGTGGAGGTGTTAACATCTAGTTTGCACGTTTGCATAATATTTGTGTATTCAGCTGGAAGGGGGGAGGCTTTTGTGACCAGCGTCGTCCAGATGTCTGATGGTGGCAGCAGCAGGTGCCAGAGAGGCGAGCGTTGCTGTGGCGCGCTCACCTGCTCGCCGAGACAGGAAGCAACATCGCTTGCTCTCTCTTTCACTTCCCCGCCGCCGGGGGAGAGGAGGGGCGGCGTGTGCGCTGCTTCTTTGCTGCCGCTTTCTTTCTGAGCCGTCTTGGCCTCAATGAAAAAGTCGTGCGAGGCAGAAGGGACGGGATGTTAGCGCAGCCCTAAAAAGGAAATGACTTGTGAAAATAATGCAGTGGTTAATGTTTGACACATTAAATCATCATCATTCATATTCTTATCTTTGTTCTCTGCGGTAGATGAGTGTATATTTTTGCAGACTTGAACGATTATCCAGATCCTGTGTGACGTCAAAATTAAGACAGTTGACGGAGTAGGGAAGAAAAACTGCTTATGTGACTTTCATTTCAGTGTTTGCTGGTTCTTGTAAAGCTCCAAGTAAGTTTTGACAACAAGATATGCCTCTTGCAGATCTGTTAGACAATACAAACCTTTTCTTCCTAAAGTTGGCAGCATTTTGCATTATGTAACATCTGCTCTTTCAATGGGTCCTAACTAAAGCTGTTGAATAAAATACATTAGATCAGAAAATGCATTCCTGCTGCATGATCTGCATGTTGTGATTGAAATAGAAATATCTGCTGTGTCATTTTGTTCATATCACAACCATACATTTTCAGTGTTTTTATTGCTTCATCTATCCACCACTTTTCCATCCAATCAGCTGAGGAAAAGCATGTCCACACAATGATGCTGCCACTACCATGTTTCACTGTGGGAATGTGCAGTACTAGTTATCTGACACGCATACAACTTTGCATGTTGGTTAAAAAAACTCTTATTTTGATCTTATCTGACACAAGCAACTTCTACCACCTTTGTTGTTTTGTCATCATGACTTGTGGTGAACGGCAGTGCAAAAGGGTCTTTTGACGACTTGCTGTCAGTGACTGCTGTTTTTATGCATTCTTAAAGTCGTCCTAGTAGTAGATTTCTGCAGTTCCTGCAGAGCTACTATGGGCCTCATGGCTGCTTCTGTAATTAATGCCTTCCTTTACCTGCTTGTCATGTTGTGTGGATGACCATGCCTTGCTAAATTTGTAGTTTTTCCACACTCTTTCTATTCGGAGATGGTAAATTTATTTTATATTTTTATTTATAACCCAACTCTCAGCTGGTTTCCTTGGTCTTCATGATGTCGTTTGTTCACCTATGTCCTCTGATGCCTTCACAGAACAGCCGGATCAATACTGAGATGAATTTATACGCAGGTTGTTGTTGTTGTTGTTTTTTTTTTAACAAGCACAGGATTTTATTTGGGAGACTAGAGTAAAGGGGAATAACTACGAAGGTTCCAGACTTTTCCAGTTTATTTGTAGAAAATAAACCCAGCTCTTGCGTACCATTTTGTGTTGGTTTATAGCGTACTTTCTTTAACAGTTCTAATGGGACTAAAGCGTATAGTTTTCTCATCACTCTTCTTTTATCCCAGTTGACTTTTCACCACTTTTCTGCTAGGTCAGGTAAATTTGAGGAGACTGTTTACTCTTGATTTGACCACTGGGCGTACACTCAGGTTCCCATTGTTTAGTTACAGTGTTGGCATGCTCACTCTCACATTGCAAAAATCTTGCTAAAAATAATATAGTTTATATTAAATTGTCCCTTTGTGAGGGACTTCTAACTCTGGATGTTTATAAGCTTTTATGCTCCAGAAAGAAGGAAATGTTCTTTGAATTAAGAAATTGCAGCTCCAAAAATTAACTTGCGTATTGCTTAGTACAATAAATATGACCTTTTTTAAAAATGATGAATCTGCTTCTGTTTCTGTCTTTTAATTTCTGTCCTTTAGGAGTAGAAAAAAACAAAACTATTTAAGGCTGGAAGCTATGGCCAGTTTCTTGCGTATATTTTCTGTTTTACATTTCACATCTGCCTTTTAACATACATTTTCTAATAAATGTTGACGTCTGAATTGTTTGCACTGTCCTACGTTTCGGCAGGTTCCTAAATCCTGCCCTGCGCCTCCCAAATCTGATGCTAGCGCCGTGATCAGCGACTCACAGGTGGGGAGGAAACAGCAGGCCTATAAGACGGAGATCATTGGAGGCGTGGTGGTCCACACGCCAATCCAGGTAAGACTGAGATCTGAGCTGTAATCACTAAAAAAAAAAAAAAAAAGGGAGCGATACAGACTATAAACTGAAGTTTGAATTTAGTCAAACCAATGTAAGATTTACATTGAAAACTACAGTTATGTATTATATTGAATCACAGTCTAATATTGTGAGTTAATTATAAGTGAGATCATCATTCAGCAATAGTATTTAAAGAGCATGGTTTCTTAAAATCAAGCATGATTAAAGTTAATTTAGCTTAACCAAGAATTTGCTTTCTGGCAGGAAACTAGACGGGTATCTGTCAAAAAAGTAAAAACTCTTTTGGGGAAAAAAATAGATCTTGTTTTTTTATTTATATTTAATGACACGTCAAAAGATAAGGATCTGCTTTTTGCATATTTCCGCTGACATTTTTGCAATTTATCTTTGTTGATGAATCCTTTGTCTTTGACGTTGGACGGCCTCAATAGACGTCACCCTAAACTTTAGCTCCTTTCACAGATTCTCAGTCAGATTTCAAGGTTGGATTTTGGTTTGGGTCATTTTTAAAATATTAATATCTCTTCCAGTAGGGAGAGACTTGTTAATCAAATTTAAACCTGAATAAATAATTATTTGACTTAGCTGTAAATATGTTTATATGCAAAAAAAAAGAGATAAAATCAGAAACTCGTCGTGATTGAAGAATTTATCTGTCGGCGACTACCACAATGACGCTGATAAGAGGTCACTCTGATGAAATCTTTCAGAATGAAACCGAAGAGACGGAGGGGAAGGAGAAGAAGGGAAACAGGCCTGGTGTGCTGAGATGTGGTTTCTGTGTCAAACAAGGAAATGTGGTGAGCGCTCTGCCTTATTGCCAACCATATTCTCTTCAGCAAAAACTTAAAATAAGTGGGGGAAAAAAGCGGATGTATGGTGCATTTGCAGAGGAAGAGCTGGAAGAGGCGTTTTTTCACCCTGGATGACAACGCAGTCAGCTACTACAAGTCTGACACGGTGACGAGCCAACGTGATTTTCATTTATTTTTTGATTTCCTGTTGACGCTCTCGGCGTGACTGTGGTTTGTGTTCTGCTCACGTCCCAGGACAAAGAGCCTCTCCGCGGTATTCCACTCAGAGACATTCAGAAGGTCCACGAATGTCTCGTCAAGTCGGGGTGAGTCGTGAAACAATCGGTCTGATTCAGTCAGATTGTGCTTTCTGCCAATCTGTTTATCTGCGGATATAAACAAACATAATTACGTTTTCATCTTGTGAAAGTTTCAGTGTATACGATTGTTTTTTTTATCCCCCCTCCCCAAAACTTTGTTTTGGATGAGACTTGCCTGAAGCACAGCAGATCAAGAATTATTCCAGTTTTCATCCAAACGCTGCAAAGAAATGCTGCTTCCTCGTCACGATTTGATTATTACAACTCACTTTTCATTACATAACCTTTACAGACAACTTTGTTACCCTTTAACTCATCATCTTTACTACGACTGTGTCTCAGTTTAAATTATTGTTCGTCTATGATAGTAGCTGATCTGGTTTTTGTTCATGGTAAATATTATTTTTCAGGTAAACTTAAACTGTTAAATGTTTGAGATAAAACAGTTTTCTCCATGATCTGTAAAAGTATAATTTACTTAATCCGTTTCTCTTTTCCACCAGGGACCTTTTGTTAAGAGACAATCTATTTGAGATCATCACCCACTCCCGAACTTTCTACATCCAGGTAAAAACAAAAGAAGAAGAAGAAAGAAATAGTATAGTGCCTTCCAAAAGTTTTGCACTTTTTCACATTTTGTCAAATCACAGCCACAAACCTCAATGCATGTTGGGATTTTACTTGGTAGACCAACACAAAGTAGTGCATAATTGTTAAGTGGAAGAAAAATTATACCTTTTTTCATGTTTTTATACAGACTTCATGGAGACATGAAAGTAGCTAAATATAATGTAGTGAGTGGAGAAAAGACTTCAGATTGCGACAGAGCTTCACCTTCCAGCAGGACCGTGACCTTCGTCATCCCTCCAGACCTTCAATTGAACATCCTCCGCATGTTTATGTTAGAGCGGCCCAGTCAAAGCCCAGACCTAAATCCAATCACAGACCAGTGGCAACATTTCAAAGCTGATGATCTGGATTCAGTCTAAATAACAATCTGTGTGGATTTAAGTGACTCTGTGTAAACAATTTAGAGGGGTAAGACAGAAAAATGTGGTTCTGTCACGTAAAATCCTGATTAAATACTTTAAAGGTTGTGGTTGTAACAACGCAAAATCAAGGGGTGCAAATATTTTGCAAGCCACCGTTTATAAAGCCAATGATTCTGTTGTAAGGTCCTCTTCAGAATCCCAGGTGTTTCTGTGTTGATGTTTTGAAATGTTTGTCTTGAAATGCTCTGCTGCCGATGTGTGGCCCAGGCTCCTTTTTTTGGCTTCTTCTGCAGTTTGTTTTTGAGAATCGGACGCAGCCATGTGTTACCATAACAGCAATAATATCCTGTTCCTCCCCCTGGGAGAGCAGCTGACTGAGGCGTCAGCGCCGGATCAGATGGGAAGTGGAGGGAGAGAATGAGACAGGCGAGCGCTGTTTGTGATTAGAGAGAGAGAGAGAAAAGGAAGTGTGAAAAAAGACTTGTGATCTCAGATAAACAAAAACAAATGAAATGGAAATCAATGGCACAGCCTAAAGACATGATGGGGAAAACGTGAAGGTGAATTCGGTTTTTGCTAAACTTTTATTCTGATAAATGCGACGCGCTGTGGGTGGAACAAATCGTGAATTTGCTCGTGAAACAGTTTTAAAAAGTTTGTCCTTGTATTGTTAAAAAAAAATAACATTTAAGGCTACTGTTACAAATTTTATTGCAAAGTTGTTTTTTTATATCAGCCAACTAAAGCATTTGTTTTACAGTAAAGAGATCTGTTTTTATTAACTAATTAATACATTAGGTGATTAACTGGTTTATTATAAGTATTTGAAATACTTGAAACTATGAGGCAAAACAAGATTGAAAATTAGTTTTTTTTATTTATTTAGGTTACCATATTTGTTTCTGTTTTGTACATTTATATTGTATTTAAGTTTTTATTTGATGAGTATTTGGAAAAATGTTTAAATGCGTCTCTAAGGTTAATATAAATATATTACCTCACCTTGATGTTGCACTGTATCATGGAAAGAGTTTCAGTCCAACCTGGCATTTGTGATCTTAAAATTTAGTGCATGTATGTATGTATGTCATATATGACATACATGACATACATGACATATGTATGTATGTCATGCATCGGTTTCTGCATGAAACCCCTAAACTACGAAGAGTCAAAAGCGTCAACACGTGCGTCCATATGAGCATGTTGGACTAAAGCTCTTTAGAAAATCAGTCTCTGTTTCTCTGTCCAGCTTTAATGTGTGTCTGTTTATAAATCAAGTTGGCAAATTAGTTCACAGTCTCTTACAAATGATGAATGTTTCTGAAGTGAAGAGCTCCTTCTTTCCGTAGCTCTTTTCGGTTTCTTCAGAGGAGATATTAGCCTGCAGGTTGCATCAGCTGCACTTTTTGTCTCACCTGCAGTATCACTGCACATTTACATGATTTATGTTTTGGTTCTCAAGAACCAACTGAACCTCCTCCAGCACAAAGAGCATATCTTTGCATTTTTGCACTTTTTAAATGTTCTGAAATAGACGATTGTTGTACCAAATCAGCATTTTTCGCTTCTTTTTTCCCTTAAGTTTAGTTTCTGCTTTGCTCTGTGTTCTGCCATGTTGACTGAGAGATTGACTTTGGACTTGTATGTTGCTATAAAGCCAAATCCATTCTCCTCCCCACCCCCTATTTATAAATATTATAATTTTAGAACCAAACTGCATTAGAAATCTATATTGAAAAACCTCGACAGGAGGATATGAAAGATAAAAGATGATGACAATGAAAGATGACTTGCTCCAGGGCACATACCCCTCAGCTTGCACATGTAGTGACCCAGTCAATGTATAAAATGTAAAAAGTGTAAAATAGCAAAATTTCTTTGAGTTTACAGAATATACCTTCTTTTTTTTTTACTCCTGCAGCAAATCGCTATGAAAACTGCAATTTGTGTGTTCTAATCTGATAAAACGTAAATCTTTATATCTCATCAGGATCAAAAAGCTGTTTGTTAAACTGTTAATTAAAAATTGCCTTCCCATCATATTAATTAAACTTTAAGAAGAAGAAGAAGCATAACAAGAGTCTGACCATTTTTAAAAGATGTGTCAAACATAACTTAGGTTGGTTGTTATACAGGTGATGGTCGTGTATGAACATAATTTCTGACATTCTGCTCCGTGTTTATCTTCTGGTGTTTTTACAGACAGACACCCCAGAGGAGATGCATGGTTGGATCAGGGATATCGACATGAAAATTCGGGAATTCAGAGGACATCCACGGGTAACTCAGTCTTCTTTCACCCATACATGTATCTGCATCTTCAGCCAGAGACACCCTCTGTCTTTAGAAATCAGGTCAAAAGTCATATATAATCTTCAGGGGGAACACAGAGGTGGCAGTATTATGCCATGGGAATTAATTTCATCTGCAGGAACAGAGATCATCAGAGTTCATAGAAAAGGAGATGCACCTGGAAAAAAAAATCATACTGGAGGAAGGGGCTGAGGCTCATCTTAAAGCAGCAACAACATCATAAACAAACTGCAATGTAATAATTTAGACCAAAGCATAGCAATGTGTTAAAATGGCCCAGTCAAAGTTCAGACCTAAAACTAACACAGGATTAGCTTCAAGATTTAAAAATTGCTTTTCGATCCAATCAGTCTTAACACTCTTTCTAAAAATTTATTTTGCATCCAGATGACAGAAGTTGTTCTATTTTACAGAGAAAAATGGGGAAAATGTTTAAACAATAAATTTTTTGCATTCAAAAGTGTGTCACATTTATAGGATATAAATGAGTCACAATTATCAAAATTCTAAACTACATGGAATGTGGATGTAACATTACAAAATGTGAAAAGTCAAGGGGTATGAATACGTTTGTGCGTCACCATGGAGAGTGAAGCTTTTTAGTCTTGAATTGTGATCGTCGTCTGCTGTGCTGTCTTGTAATTGCAGGGACATCAGTTTAAGCGAATGTCGTCTCTCCATCAAAAGCACAATCCCAGCGGTGCCTCTCGTCACCAGAGTAACGAGGCGCGGCCCCAGCTGGTCAAGTCCTGCTCTGTGGCTCCAGGCTGGCAGCCCTGGACCCCCGTTCCTCCGGGCGAGCCGTCCATCATGGACATGGAGGACGAAGACAGCCCGTTCAGTCCTGTCCCCACTCTGCCTTCTCTCTCCTCCTCGTCCACTTCCTCGTCCACCTCGTCCTCTTCCAACTCCCTGTCCACCCCAACCCCGTGCCCCAGTGCGTCCCAGGTGCCGTCGACCAGCGGGCTGGGGATGCTCACGGCGTCGGCAGACGCTGCTAGCGGCCGGCGACGGCACCGCTCGCAGCCTCAGCCTCACTCCTCCTTCCCCTTCAGCCTGGATGACGACGGCATCCGCACAACAGACGTGTAACGCTGAGCGGTCTGTGCAGACTCTGGTGTGGACTAACATGTTGGTACCTTCTTTAAGTGATGAATGTGACTGATAATGGTAGTATTCCCTGCTAATGAAGAGACAATGCGTCTACGGCAGCGGTGCCCAAAGTCGGTCCTGGAGGGCCGGCATCCTGCATGTTTCAGGTCTCTCCCTGGTTTAACGCACCTGGATCCAATGATGGCTCATTAGAAGGCCTAAGAAGAACATTGACATGCTGAGAAGGTTGTTTCTACCACCAGGGAGAGAACTAAAACGTGCAGGATGCCGGCCCTCGAGGACCCACTTTGGGGACCCCTGGACTATGGCATGAGATGGGGGTCCACCTGCTGGTGATGTTACTGCTTTGCAGACGAAGGATGCACCCAGCTGGAAGGAGGAGAGGAACTGTTTCTATTGGTCCAAGGACTGTGAAAAGGAGTGATGGAGTATTTTAGTGCAACTTCCTCTGAAAACTTGAATAATCTTGTTAGTTTTCTTTTTGTTAAACTTAAAAAATGGCGGCACATGCTTTCAGACTCCTGCACTTGGCCTCATATTTGAATCCCTGACACCAAGACTGTGCTTTTGCAAGACGGTTATTAAACAAAATGTTTAAAGGAATTTTAACACTTTTAAAAATTAGGGTTTTTTTTACATTCAGACATCTCAAGAATATACTATTAGCTTCTTTTCACACTTTGTTTCACCCACGTCAGCAGTGTTTTCAAGTCATTCATTCCTGAAACACATTCTCATAAAGAAACAAGTACATCATCTGCATATAGTTACATTTTACTCGTTTGTATTTTTAACAGCTTTCATATATTTGCTCTGTTTCTTTTTTTTTTTTTTAATTTCTGCTTAAAGATCAACTGTCGGTTAACTGTGAGTCCATTTGAAGGTTGAAGCTCGGTACCATGAGAATGCTGCAGTGTTACAGTGGTACTTGTTGTAAAACATCCTGCTGGTATCAAACCACCGCTCATGATTGCGTCAGCTGCTTTGGAAATGTAAATGTGATTGTCGTTTTGCAGCATTACGTGGAACGTTTTTTGCCACTACCTTTGGTAATTGAACTGTAATTCTGTACTTTGCTTTAGTACATGCATGTATATGTGTGTGTGGTACCATGTTCATTCCTGTTTCCATTCTCTGAAGCGTGTGCACTTATCTACCTGCATGTCATGGTAGTTCTTTCTCTAATATTAAATAATGCTTTATATTTTTCTTGTTTGGGCCGTTTCTGATCAAGTCTTTTTGGTGGCACACCCTGGACCAAAGTCTTCTAAAACACAGTTTGACTGAGTAAGTGGCATCTTGACCTTTATGTGTTTGGTCTCTAAAAGGCAAATGCTGCTGGACAAGAGGTCAGAGCGAACAACAAATTTGCCCTTTTACACACGCACAGTGTGTGGGAGCAAACAGGCGTACCGTGCCCATGTACCGACCAGAGGCTGTGTTAAGTGAAGTCTTTCACACATGCAGTGCAAAGTCTATCAGGTAAAACGCCTTAAAACCCAACATGTCCACTTCAGCTCCTGTCCTCCGGTTCAGCTGCCGGACAGTAAAAACGTCTCCACTGAACAGTTTAAATTGTATTAAAGGCCATGAGGCCTTGTGAAATGTCAGCTATGCTGAAATTGGTTTTGGCTTTTATGAAACGAATCCCCTCCAGGTGCACGAACAGGCCAAAGGAGAACCTTGGTGTGAAGATGAAGAAACTTGGTTAAGCTTAAAAGAAACGACTAACGGGACCTGACTGGATGAGCATATCTCTGTGAAAGTGAATTTGATTTGCTTTTATGCAATATTTTTAAAAGAGATGAGTGCTTGGAGATGATGCTTTCCTCTGGAAGCCCTCAGGGTCTAATTTCTTGTCACCGTGTGCATAAACTTAACGTAAAGGTCACCTAGCACTTGAGTGTGACGCCTGTGAGTGACAGGCAGCTCTGAGGGCAGAGACACACCGCTCTCCTAAATGTTAATATTCCCACATGGATGCATCTGCATTGCGCTGCTCTGTCTTCAACACAGTCTGATGTTTGTCTGCTGGATTAAAATGTTAGAAAATACAGTCGCTGTGCCCAGAGGTTCAAACGTTGACATATTCTGTTGCTTGTAGCCTGAAATAAAAGAAACGTTACTGGTCCAAGGTTTATGTGAACTCATCATACCTGGGGATGTAATGTTATTTTAGATTTTTCAGGGAGTGAATAATTAACATGGAAAATAAGAAATTGATGCAAAGATCTGAAATCATTAAATATCTTCTTTACTCCAAATGGTGGAATGTAGGATAAAAGTCTCATCTTGAATTGTTAAAACTTATTTCTTGTTATTGTGGGCAAACAGATCAGGTTTTATTTCTCAATTCACTGTGGAGAAACTGGCGTACCTAATATTTCCGGTGTATGCAGGTCTGATATTTGGTGATAATTGGACAACTTCTGATCATTTTAATCAATTTTCTTTCATATTAATGTTACAGAATAGGTGAGATGCTGGAAGCTTGGACATAGCTGAGTTTTGCAACACAACATTTATCAAATCTGTTTTGGGAATAGGTAAAACAGCAAATACCAAACTTTTGGGAAATTTCTGACCACTAAAAATGTGACTATGCTAAAAAAAAAAAAAAAAAAAAGGTCAAGAAGACAAGTCAGTCAGAAATTTGCTTGTTTATGGCTACAAAATCAGGTGATTACAGTGAGACTTGCTTCTGTGGTTTTATTTTAATATTAGTGGGACGTAAGTTTGTTAACATATAAATTTTGACCACTTGTGGGTTAGTGAGAATTTAAAAAAAAAAAAAATTGTACAACCAGGTTTTGTTTTTAAACCTCATTGGAATTATTTGTTGGCTCAATAAAAAGCCAAACTGGCCTTGATGGATTGATGTAAACTTATGAGCACAACTGTATCTCTGGGATGAACAAAAGTAATGTACATTTAGATTTTGTAAAAATGTATTTTTATTTTTTGAGGCAACTCTGTCATAAAGCCACTAGAGGGAGCTATGACACACGACATCTCAGTAGTAAACGATAAGTTAGTTCAGTCAGCATGCAGTCTCTGACGCTCAGAAAATAAACATTTTGTCTCAGTCTTTCACCTTAGTTTAAATGTGCAACGTCTCCGAAGAGTTGAATAACAGAAAGGTATGAAATAAATGCTTACTAATATGCTTTTCATTTACATCCACTGACAGAAATAATAAAATCCCCCAAATAAACTGGAAATATATTTTGTACTGCATTAAAATCAATACTTTGCAAAATTGGTGAGATGAAACTGATTCCGCCAGCAAACGACATAACATTTGTGATTAAGTGAAAGTTAAAAATAAATAAATAAATACCTCACTCGGGTCACCCGACATCACTCAGTGCCTCTGACCTGAATCCACATTAGCAACAGGTTGGAGAGTGAAGCGATATGCTAAGAGGCCTTTAAGTAGGCCAGTGTTGGAAGCAGCATTTTTTTTTTCAACTTGTGTGAAATAAATGCATTATAATGTGGAGCAGGCTTCCCTTCATCTGGACTCAGAGGGGTCCGTCTGGCCAGATGCCCAGACCTTCTCCACCATCCGCTGTTCCCACATCAGGCCACCGTACAAAGGAGGGGGAGGGAGGTTGTTGGAATGTATTTTGCCCTGTGTGATGTGATTGTTTGCAGAGAAATGGGTTGACCTTGCCCTTTATTGCCACACACACACACACACACACAAATACACACATGCACACACTCGCTCTGGCCGGGCTGAAGGTGTGTGAGACAGCCCTGCTGAGTGCAGGAGGTCTGGGACCCCTTCACCACTTCCTCCAGACAGAGAACAGAGGATGGAGTCAGCTGAAGCCATGATGGGCCAATAATGAACCTTCCAGAGGCCACAGCCGCCTCCTTTCAGGTATGCTGTTAAGCTTATTATTATTATTATTATTATTATTATTATTATTATTATTATTATTATTATTATTATTATTATTATTATTATTATTCACTAGATTTAATTAGAAATAGCAATAATTATATTGAACATTGAGTGAATCTTTTTAGATGTTTACATTTAAGTGATAAAAATAAGATTTTGTTATTTATTTAACCACAATTTTTGCTTGAAATTAAAATTTAAAAATGTTCTTTTGAAATAGTCTTCTTTGGAGAGCTAATAAAACTTTAAGACAAACCAAAGTAAACTAAATCATTTATCAACCCTAATAAATGAGAACTTATTGCATATTTTAATTTCAGTAAATATTTCTATTTCTATAACTTTCATATCCTTTTGAGTTTTTAGAAACAAATTTAACTTTTTAGTGTTTTATTCAACAACAAGACAACTACACAATTAATTTTATTTATATTTTAATGAGTCCAATTGTTTGAAAATGTTTTTTTCCAGACAATAAAAATGTGCAAAATTTAATTAAAAACCCGCCTGCAGTTTTATTTCGAAGTTAGCGTTTGTGATGGACAGACGTTCAACTGCTTAATCTGTCCAATATTTATTTTTAAAGCATCAAATCCTTTAGAATATAATCCTTCTAATATTTTTTCCTTACTTTTCACAGTAGATCAATAGTTTCCAGCAAAGAAAACTGTGAGTTAGGAACTTTTTGTGAAGTCGGTAGAGAGTTTGTCATAAGAAATTGTTTTTGCCTGTTTCGCTGATGAACATAAACTATCAAGCGTGAACATATTCGCCCCCTTTTGGAGAAATCAAAACGGAAAGAGCAAACTTATGGAGTGAGATCAGTGTCAAATAGACTACATACAATCTTATGTACTTGTATGGGACATATGCAATATATTTAGGTTTCATATAAACAAATATTTTTGATCTGATGGTTTATGTTGGCTATCTGTAGGCAATTAGAGTCACGGTTGTCTGTTCAAAAATATTTATATATATTACAATGGAGTTCAGATGGATGAATTAAACTCTGTTTAACTGTTGCACATTGTTGCTGGAGGAGGACTGAAGAAAATGGCACGTAATGCAGTAGGTACTGAAAAATGGGCACACTACGCATTTTACTGGAACACGTCAAATTCTCCATCAAGGCGACTGTTGTGTGTGTATTGTAATACCGAACATTCTGCATGAAATATTATATATATATATATATATATATATATATATATATATATATATATATATATATATATATATATATATATATATATATATATATATATAT